ATCTGGTGGGGGAAGTAGAGACAGAGATTAGAGAAAGGATCTAAAATGGATTTTTATGCCATGTGGAAACAAACAAACAACACACCTGAAAGGCTTCTCTGTCATCCAGCAAGTCGCTGGGATGATACACAGCATAGATGGTGAGGTTAAAGAAGGCACAGGCTGAACCCAAGTGCAGGTAGAACGGGACAAGACGACTCTGGATGAACCCATAGGTGTGTCTGTTCAAGTGGTTGTCCATCACAAAGCCTGTGCAGAAATCAACAACAACTCATTAGGTACTGCAGGGGATGTCCTGGCTTTTATTTCCATAAAAACTGATGGCTTATACTAATGTATCTAATTAAGAAGTAAAGTATTCAGATNNNACACCTTAATTACACTGTGTTTATCAGACTTTTCTTGACAATTTAAGACACTTACATCAATCCAAATGCTTGGTACATGCTCTACGGTTTTAAGTACACTATTAAAAACCTGTGTTTGCATAAATACATCCACAATGGTCTACCACAATAGCAACAAGGCAAAAAACATTGGGTTTGTGGCTGGATACTGGCAGGAAGCTCAGATGCTGCAAGGGGTCACTTTCAGTTAACCATAAACTATGCCGCATAGCATGTAGACAGATATATGAAATGGAAACCCACAGACACACCTGGATAAACTGAGTGACTGAACTAGAACAAAAGCAAGTCAGGGTCTGAATGTAGGCATAAAGGTAACCTTGATATGGATGATACAAAGGCACTAAAGAGCCTTCTGGGTGATCCAGACCCATAAGTGGACAGATATAAATATAGGTGTGTATTTACTGTATGTATTACTGTATTTGATCACTCAGATCACACTCGAAACCACATTGAAAGAACACTCACAGTCATTATTATGTAGCGTGACAAAACACATATTCTGTATCCCAAATAGGAGAGTTACCAGCCTGTCCTTTTCTTTCCCTCACCATCCCTCACTCGTGTTTCTTTGCTGTGTACATTTCTGCGTGTGCGTGCATGGTACCAACTTGAAATAAAGGTGACCCAAATCTGCATCCCCCAGTAGGTGGAGAGAAGCAGCAGCTGCAGCATCTTGACTGTGAACGTGGGCTCCTGGTCAGTGGACATGCTTCCTTCCCAGCTTCTTTCTTCCCCAGTCTGGATTCCACCGTAGTCTCCCAAACTGCACCGTCCGGAAAGGCCAGTAAAGCAATGCCTGATGCTCCACCCCAGAGCCTCTGTAAACACAGTGAGTATGCCATTAATGAGGTTGAAGAAGTGCAACGGAGGTAGAATGTCTGGCTCCTGTCACTGCAGGGTGAAGCTGTAGGTGACATGTAGACTGAAACCACACCTTTAGATAAGAACAGCACAGCTCTCGGTACTGGGACAGATTATACAGCAGGTTGCATTTGTGTCAACGCTGAAATCAGTGCAGGACACAGTGTGCGCCAAACGGCCTGTGCACTTCCGCACTGTTGTCAAGGAAACTGGGTGTCTGTTTTGACCTCACCCTGTGTGCACACTGATATCAACCCAGTAGGAACATAAAACACACATGTGAGCACCACACACTCATACTCACTAACGTTACTCACACCGCTAATTTCAGCTAACTGAGAGAAGACCAACAACCCGACAGCAGCTGACGGCTGACTGACAGAGCTGTGCGGCAACAACTCTCCAAAGTCACCTCTGCAACCACGAACTAACGCCAAGTATTAGTATTAACTCATGTAACATTAAGTTAGTGGTTAATGTAGCGGGAGGTAAGTAACGACCTGATTAGCAACTAGCGTTAGCTAAAGTTAGTACACCGTGGAACTTAGCGCAAGTTAGCTTAGAGAACTAACTTATTACTGTAGGCTAGTTGCAATTCATTGTTATTTAAATCATATTTATGATCTTAACAGGACTAACAGAGTTAATACTGTAAGTGTACGGCCTACCTGTGTTAAACGGCAGCTTGTTGCAGATGTCCCGGCTCTGACAGTAAACTTACGCTGCGTAGTAGCTAACGGTGTCCTTAGCGATCAATCACTGTGTAAGAAGAAGGCGGAACCCAAGTGTCGAGGATGTAAAAACAGCGGACAAACACTACTGGTTCCTGCACGCCTTCAGGTAACAACCCACCGTGTCTTTGAAGGACCCTGTTGGGGGGGGGGGGGTGTAGAACCAGTAAAGACTGGTTAGTCACTGGTCACTGGTTGGAGTTAAGTCAAGAACAAAGTTAGGTTTGCACTGTGCAGTTATTCAAATAAAGAGCATATCAATTTGTGACAACATTTTTTTTTTTTTTTT